GAAACCTTCAAATAATATTCATTCCAAACTCTTAAAGCGCATTTTCCTACGCACTTTTCGCTTCACACAAACTAACCTATCTCATTCACATCATCGTCATGGTGGACGCCATACTTTTCAGACGCATTGCTATAGCGAAGCCAATTAAAATGTGCCCCTAAACTGCCCAGTTGCACAACAAAAAAGGTCTTTGCAATTCTCCAGAAAAACAAGAACAGCAGCTGACATTCTAAAGATGTGAAAACTTGAAACACCATTGACAATAGTGCTACGAAACAAACGTAGCGATGACTGTTTTCAAGCAGATTGTATGTCCAGATTCTTCACTCTCTGCTCATTGTTTCAGGAAAATGATAGCGAAATGATTCGGGAAGCCTTTCGCGTTTTCGATCGTGACGGGAACGGCTTTATTACTGCGGAGGAGTTTCGCTATTTTATGACACATATGGGCGAACAATTTAGCGATCAAGAAGTTGACGAGATAATTGCCGAAGTTGATATCGACGGTGACGGGCAGGTGCGTCAAAGCATATTTATTCTAGTCCTAATTTAGGCTTTGGAGTTATTTAGCCGCCATAAGATATCTCCAAATGACAAAAAGTTATTCTCAATAAACCAATGGGTTTGAACATCCACCTGATGACTTTGAATGTGAAAACTAGAAAAAGTTTCCTGTCGATTCCTTTCAAACTGCCCTATATAAATTGAATGTTTTGTTGAAGTTATTCCCCTATTATTCTCGCTCCTATCTTTTCTTTGCACGAGGTTTTAAAGTATGAGCATTTTTTATGGCTTTCACCCTCGTGTTTTCTCTGCTTTGGCTTGATTTTGAGAGCACTAAAGTTTTCAATAGAGAGAGAGGTCATAAAGCATTTTTGATACTCCACAACTCTGCCCTATTGCTGACAGCTGTGAAAGACCTGAAGACAAAGCGATCCACTCAATAGCACAATGATCTCTTAGCTTTTTTCACCAAAACATACATACCTCATCCCTCAGCGACAACGTGAACCTATTAGTATGCTCGATAAACTGCGTATTTCCCTTCGAAAATATCTCTTTTTGTACATTCCACCCACATCAAAATTGAAAACACGCATGCAAATTGAATTTGAGCGAGAAAGCTATTGTTTTGGTGGAGCAATGAGCAAACCTTACTCATCTCAAATCTCAGTTGTTCACGCTGACGCCAATCATTCCGAGGCAGGCAGCAGCGGCGAAATTGACGGGCACAGAGAGACAGTGAGAATGTTCACGAGAAAAGCAGCGTGTCATATCCCTCGGGATGGCCGCTTTCATCAATGTCAATTCAATTTACCCTTAACTAAAGCGCCGTTCATTTGCGGAAACTATGGCGCTTGAATTCCCAATCAAACAAAGCGTGCGAACTATGCTTGCACTATCCAAATGTTTGTGAAGGAGATGTTAATCACAGTTTTTGCTGCGCCTCTGGCTAGTCACCATGAGGCTTAACTTAGCGTGAGATTTTTCTCAAAAGTGCAGTCCTAAAATATCAATCCCAAAGTGCTTCTCAACAACAAAGAGATAAATCTTAGTTTCGTTTTTTCAGATCGACTACGAAGAGTTCGTAAAGATGATGACGATGCCGTGAGCAGCGTAACACTGCCAGCACGGAATTCTTAAACAGCATCTCAGCTTTGACGACGGGCTTCTCTTTCCACGCCAACGTCAACTCATCTTGCGGGTTTTTGCATACATTCTTGTTCGTTCACAAGTTGTACTGCTTTCGTTTTTGTGTCAGGTGTACGTATAAACATTGCTAACTGATTAGCCTAATCAATCTTAGTAGCATTACAACACATTCGCAGACAAGAAAAAATCCTTTCAGTTTAGCCTGAAATTCACGCCTTCGCTTTTTCGCGATTTCCCGCCATATATTGACATTTTATCCAATATTAAGCCATACTTCACAAACAATCCCCTCAGGCGAGGGTGTAACGCGGAAAACAAAGAATTCCTCTTAGTAACGGCGAACAGGATTACAGCTTCGTGACAGACGACAAATGTCCTCCATACCGCGTAGTACCCAAAACATAGTACTGATTGCTGAGATTCTTAGTGCTCAATCGTAAATCACAAAGTGCTAGTCTGCTAGTGCGAAAGCGAAAAAAGATCAAGTAAAGAATTCAAAGACTTTGAAGCATGATGTTGGGCAGAAACAATTTTATGAGCGCACGCGCATTCGCATATTGTCCATTTCCCACAGGAGAATACACAAGCAAAAACGCCACCCTCGCTAAAACTAAAGAAGCTGCAGATAAGATTTTGCAAAATACAGCTATAGAATTTATAGTAACAAGATA